AAACTCTTTGGCTGTGATTACTTGCATATGGAACCAAAGGGAAGCAAACAGACTGCAAATCTTCTAAGTCCTGAGGAAACTGTATTGCCAAAGAAACCACAAGCCTGGTCAAATGCCTATAATTATTCAGGCTCTACAGTAATCCTAGGCCCCCAAACCTGACCTATCAATAACTGGGCCGTGAAAACTGTGGAGCCCCCAAAGGGCATACTCTCCAATGGTGACTTTCTGTAGCCAGGGCTGATAATGGACAAGGAAAAACTTCCTAGAGGGATACGCAGGATGATGGACAAAGGAGTTTCTTCCAGAGAGAACTGGATGCTACAAACTGGGCTAACGTCCTTGATTGCCCATGCAGATGATTTTTGCAGTTTCTAGCCAGTAGGATTCCTCACTCATGCCTGGAGAGGGCATGAGTAAGTGAACTATGGCAGAGATTGATAATTTTTTTTCCCCAATATCTACTCTCCCATTTTACTTTAGTAGCAGAACCCTTGAATATAAAACAATTCTGAATAAAAACTTCATTTTCATACCTCCCTTGCTGTTAGTTGTGGACCATGTGTTCATGTCTGAAACAATGGGAAAAGGGCAGAAGTGAGGTTGCAACTTCAGAGTATTCCAATGGAATTTGAACTTGGGCAGTCTGGCTTCAGTTTATACTCTGTGTGCCAGAACTTCTCTAAGCACTAGAGGCAAAATAGTGTGAACAAGACAGGCAAGACACCTGCTTTCAGGGAACTCCGAAGATTAGGAGGGACAATGCATAGATGCTTAGATGACTCGAGGAGAGATTGACAACACATAGGAGGGCAAACAAAAAAAAAAAGAAGATAATTTAGGCCGGGCGCGGTGGCTCACGCCTGTAATTCCAGCACTTTGGGAGGTCGAGGCAGGCCTAAGGCCAGGAGTTTGAGACCAAACTGGCCAACATGGTGAAACACCGTCTCTACCAAAAATGCAAAAACTATCCGGGCGTCATGGTGCATGCCTGTAATCTCCGCTACTCAGGAGACTGAGGCATGAGAATCGGAGAATCGCTTGAACCTGGGAGGTGGAGGTTGCAGTGAGCTGAGATCCTGCCACTGTATACCAGCATGGGTGACAGAGCAAGACTTGGTCTAAAAAAAAAAAGAAGAAAAAATAATTCAGATGGTGAGAGGTGCTTTTAAGGAAACAAAACATGGTGATAGGACGTTGGCTGGGAGTATGACTTCAGTAGGTGAAGGCCTTTCTGGAGAGTGTATTTGAGCTAAGACCTAAATTTTGAGAAGGGATTCATAAGACCCAGAGAAAGAAGTCACAGGCAAAAGGAATAAAATGGAAAAACCCTGAGGTGGGAATAAGTTTGGCATCCTCGAAAGGCAGAGAAAAAGTCAGCTTTTCTGGAACAGTCAACAAGCAGGGGTGTGGCTATGAGAAGTTTGGTGTGGTTTGCAGTCGTCAGGTCTTGTAGAGTTTCTAAAGTGTAGTAAGTGACTTGGATTTAATTCTTAAGGGCAAGGGGTAGCAAGGAAGTGATGTGAAGTGGTATTCTATGAATACCAGGGCCATCTTACCCATATCCTTACAAAGTCATGCATGGACATTTGCAATAATAGAAAAAAAATTGCTGCAAAGATGCACTTTCTAGAAGAGACAGAATCTCCCCAAAGGTGGTATATACTGGCTATTAGATCCTGCTTTCTTCTGATTCTGAAGAAATATTCTAGCTACTAAGTGACTCCCACCTCACCCTCACCCTCCTTCTGTGGGGAGTGGTGGTTCTTAATATCGTGCTGGCCCAATAGAAGATTCCAGTTAGGCACAAGGATTTCACACAAGGAGTTGAGCCTTGTGTGGAATGTCCATGAAAGAGAAACTTTAGCAGTTTCTACTGTTTGTGGGGATGGTTTGCTGAGTTTAATTCTTTGAAAATGTGACTTGGAATCTTTTGGATACATAGCAATAAATATACCACCATCTTTCAATCCCAATGTTCCTTTAAGATGTGCGGGAGTTATGTTATTCTCTTCCCTTATTTTATGCATTGACAAAGAACAAACTAGATTATTCCTGGAAAGCTTAAAATGGTCTCCCTCCTTCCCTCCCTCCCTTCCCTTTCTTCTTCTTTTTTTTTTGACAGGGTCTCTCACTTTGTCCTGCCTCAGCCTCCTGAGTCCTGAGACTACAGGCATGTGCTAACACACTTATTTTTTGTAGAGATGGGGGTCTTACTGTGTTGCCCAGGCTGGTCTCAAACAATCCTCCTGCCTTGGCCTCCCAAAGTGTTGAGATTACAGGTGTGAGCCACTATGCTTGGCCTGGTTTTACTTTCTATGCAAACTGAAAGCAGCATCTTTTACTTTTAGTTTCTCCTATTTTTTTTTTTTTTGTAAATCTTATTCCCATCAATGCTCCAACATGAGCAGAACTGAAAAAAGAAGTCATTTAGGTAACAGTTGAATAACACAGCTCGATGTGTTAAACTGTACTTGGATAGTAAAAACACTGTGAAAGATGCCTTCTCCCTGACCAGCCCCCTCTCCCCCAGCAGCATTATGTCTGGGATAAAGGAATGGGATGGATAAGTCACACATGGTCACTATTCCTGTGATCCTCTGATTGTGCAACATTGCCTAAATCAGTTACTTGATATCTCCCCAAGTGACTCCCTTCTACTCATCTTTCCTTCATTGTGTAGCTGGGTTTCTCACTGGCAACCTTTTTGCTGGTCTCCAACTGCTGCTTAACCCCAGGCTTGTGTGGCTCTGGAACACACAATACAGGCAGGAGCATATAAGCTCCAGAGTGTGTAGAATTTGAATGAAGCTTTAGCAGGGCCAAGTTGAGAGATGCTTGAGATCTAGTGCCTGCTGCTGATATTGCCGTAACTGGAAGAGAACTGGGGTCTTTCTTTGGAGAGACTAGTATTTTAATAGGTTCTTCAAGCCCGCCTTGTCCAGGAAGTCCCTCTCCTACCTGAGATAAGTGAGGAGAAATTGAAGGCGCAGTATTTTGGGTACTACCCCTCAGGTGGCTTCAGAATACTAAGATATTTTAGGAACATATGATGTTTTTAGATCTGAATGTTAAGTTTGAAAAAGTATTTCGGAAATATATTCAAACTACCAATTATATGAGAATTCCTTTTTATCCTCATTTTTCTCTAAAAGTATATCATATGGAAACTACTCTAGAAGTGGCAAAAGGTAACAATATCTTTGTGTTTGTCCACTAGAATTCAAACTAATGTTTGCTTCTTACTATAATCTGAAAGCTCCTACTTAGTAACTGTTAGCAGATAAATGTGTGTGCACACTCGAGGTTGATCCCTAAATCCTAGAGATTTTAAAAACTGCAGCAGATCCACTATCCAATTTAAGGATTGGCAGAGGTCTGACTGATACACAGCTTATGGAATAGATAAATTCTAAGATGTGAAAAGTCAGGAATCAGGGAATTTTGAAATCAGACAATTCACCAGATTGCTAATTTACCATGTTAATGTCAGTCCCCTAAATATTAATAATTTTCAAATTTGGCAGCTTTCGATGAACACTCCTCTTGGAAATGTGGCAATCATATATATTTGTGTCTAACACATACATGAACATGTTGATTTCCTTTTGGCTGTACACAAATGAGTCCTCACAGCATAATAGCCAATGTGTTTGCTTGCATAATGCCCCACAGTGTATGTAGAACATTACTCTACAAAGCCCTGAGATGGGGTATGAAGTGCTCGGTGGAAATGGCAATGTAAAACATCCTGGCAGCATTAAATCTCCCAACTACTCTCTAGTTACTTTGAGACCCCCACATTTAAGGGTCTGCTAGTTCCTCGGTATGAAGAAAGAATTTTTAATGGGGCCAAATGTAGGTGTTTACAAGGGGGAATTGTTGTTTTTTATTAGGAGCTGCCTTATGTTCAATAGTTGTATTTACTTTGTCAAGCTAGCCAGAATTAGAAAATCCCCATTGCTAGGCAGCCTAGAGTGTCTGCGAAGTATTTCTGGGCATTCAGAACCCAAGCATGTGCTGCCCAAAGGCAGGTTTCATTACAGTGTGTTATTTAGTCCTCTTTCGTCCCTCCCTACCCCCACACCCCCAGATAGGGCTGCTTCTATAACAGGAAATCTTGGTTACTTTATGCTGAAACATATTTACATGACTGAAACAAGACAATTAACACATTTGTAAAGCTTGAGGGATAGGCACACTTTAATGGTTTTTTGAAGCAGGCTGATTTCCTGGAGCTTTTAATCTTATTTTATTTTGTTCTGCATGCATGAACAAGTTCTTCTTTACTATAGGTATTTGACAAAGTCTACCTGGTATGAATGTGAATACAAAGAAAATAACATGAGAATTAATTTTATGTTTTATCTTTGTCAAATTGTTCTTAACTTCTTTCACCAGTTCAATGTATATTGAGGACTATGATATTATTTTTGTCATGTTGTATTAGCTTTTATACAAAGGCATTTAGGTAGTATCTTTTTGGTTTGGGAAAATGAAATGAGGCTTTCTCTCTACCGAGTGTATAAAAGCTTTTCATAATGAATGAAAAGTATCAATTACAGCAGTGATTTTTGTCGCTTTTCATGGACAGATAAGAGGTGTACTCTCCTAGGTAGAGTATATTTCACTTGCTTCAAATTTAAATGAACACACAGGTGATACTAAGTAGTATTATTTGATAAATGCTGTTGTGTGTGTTTTGCCTATTTATATATTCAAGTTTAAGTATGTAACATAACAATAATGTCATGAATACTTTAATATCTTTTAATTATGTTGATTAATTGCTAATTAATAGCTTTGGTAAAATTTAGAAAAAAAAATCTTAAGTAGCAGAACCCTCTGAAATGAAAACTCCCATTTTCCTTTTGATTTCTGAAAGCATGCTAACCTCAAAACCCCCACTCCAACTCTCACTTAAAAGTTTATGGCAAATTTACAAATTACACTGGCTTCACAGAGTCGTTTGATACATCTAGTTCCCCCTTCCACAAACC